GCTGGAGCAGGCTCCTGGCAGGACCTGTGGCCCCATGGAGAGGAGCCCAGGCTGGAGCAGGTTTGCTGGTAGGACTGGTGACCCCGTGGGGACCCACGCTGGAGCAGTCTGTTCCTGAAGGACTGCACCCCGTGGAAGGGACCCACACTGGAGCAGTTCATGAAGAACTGCAGCCTGTGGGAAGGACTCACGTTGGAGAAGTTCATGGAGGACTGTCTCCCGTGGGAGGAAACCCACACTGGAGCAGGGGCAGAGTGTGAGGAGTCCTCCCCCGGGGAAGAAGGAGCAGCAGAAACAACGTGTGATGAACTGACCCCAACCCCCATTCCCCATCCCCCTGCGCTGCTGGCAGGGAGAAGGTAGAGAAAATTGGGAGTGAAATTAAGCCCCAGAAGGACGGAGGGGTGGGGGGGAAGGTGTTTTAAGATTTAGTTTTTATTTCTCATTACCCTACTCTGATTTGATTGGCAAGAAATTAAACTAATTTCCCCAAGTCAAGTCTGTTTTGCCCATGACAATAACTGGTGAATGATCTCTCCCTGACCTTATCTCAACCCACAAGCCTTTCATTGTATTTTCTCTCCCCTGTCCAGCTGAGGAGGGGGCATGATAGAGCGGCTTTGGTGGGCACCTGGCATCCAGCCAGGGTCAACCCACCACACCCCGTTTTATCTTTAAAGTGAAACCCTTCACCTTTACTGAGATGAGAAGCACTGTCAATAAGAGCACTTGGCCATGGTCCTGCTCCATGCAGTGGCATTCAAGCAGAGGGTTAAAGCAGAGATTGGTTTGGCCCTTAGAAATCTTGCTATAACTAATCATTTGAGACCATTTATGTGACCTCTTTGATATGCCACAGATATGGAAATCTCAGGAACATCTGTCTGAAATCCATCTAGATCAACACATCTCCGATATATACTGAGCTTGTACTCCAAGGGATGCTTCACATAATCCCAGCCTGGATGTTGGCAAAACCAACCACCTGCTATTTTACTTTCTGAAAGGAGGAGCCTCTGTATAGATGCACATTTTAGGAAGACATGGTAATTCTTGTCATGCAAAGTTTTTAAGGTTATTGCAAAATGCAGAACCTAGGACATATTTCAAAATGTTCAGGAGATCTGAGCCAGTTTGCACCTCACTGGGAGCCCTGGTGGGAAGCGCAGAGCAGAAATTGTCTGCAGCTGTCCCCACTTCCTAGGAGCAGCCACATGTGGCCAGCTGCGTCTTCGTAAGGGATGAAATTGTGAATTGGCCTTTTCTTGCCATGTTTTTAGCCTGTCCTTCCTATTACAGCTGCAAAATCCAAGAATTCCAGGAAAATCTCAACACATGTTGGTCTGAGTTAACAGAAGTCTCCACAGGCACGGGAGGTCAGGAAGGTGTGTTCCTGGCCCCACTGTTCCAGCTTGAGGGAGCAGTTAGTTCAACAGTCTGAGGTGCTTGGGGCTGAGATCTCTTTCATTCTCTTGAACTAGAAAAACTCTTTTTTCTCTGTGTGGCTTTTAATTCTTTTGAATGAAAACACCTCTCTTTTTTTCTATGTGGCTGTTAGAAAGACATTAACTGTTCTCACAAGCAGTTCCACAGTCACGAGTTTGGATGTGCTCAGTGGCTGCAAAAGAATTTGAAGGGAAAGGAAGCACAAGTGCCAACTAGATTAGAAAATACTTCCATATTTCTACAATACGATTGGAAGGACAAGGCACCTCCACGCTTCACAGCTGAAGGGTAAGTTTCTCAGTTGCAAAATATGCCCTCTTCCACAAACAGAAAGCTCTTGGCCCATTGTACTCTCATGAAATACATTTCTAGGGGAATGCTATTGCATGTAATGGTGCTGGACTCAGTGCTGCTGGCTTCTCCTTGCCCTGCTGCTCCTGGGTACTAATAGGTACTGCAAACTCTGTGGATGCTTAAAACTCCTCCAAGCCTTTTGTGTTGCTTATTTTTCTTCCCAAGAAGCTGCTTGTTTTTAATCCTGATTGGTGTTGCAATCCAGGTCACAGTACAGCCCTACAGTGATAATTAGGAGGCAGAAAGGATTACTGGCTGCAGGAAGAGGCGGTAGAAGCAACCGTGGGCACAGAGAAATGCCTCTAGTGATGACTCAGTGGGAGGTGCGAGGAGTTTGGACCGTGCCAGGTCCAGCCGCCCTGTGATACAAGGGCCATGTTCACACAGTGTAGCGTGGAGAGGAGAGTACACGCTGGGGAGTGGGAGAGGGGGACAGCGTTTCATTAGCTTCTGCTCAGCAAATCCATCCCGAGGTGAGCCTGGGACCACAGAACTTGTCTTTGCTTGGGAGGAAGTTTGGCTGTGTCAGCCTCGGAGGGTGAGTTTTTGCAATACGCTTATTTCAGTGGCATTGCAGGCAGATGATGACAGCAGTGACGCCTTGTCCCCATCTCCCCACCCCGGCTGCCCCTCCCGCCCCTCTCCTCCCGCGAAGCCCAGGGTCGCAGTGGCCGTGCAGCCAGCTGAGCTCACTGAGCTGCCTTGCAAGCAGGTCTCCGTTTGCTTGCGGACTGGAGAGTTTTCTGTTCCATCAGTGGTGTGATCTGAATCACCATGTGGTTGCGTAGTCATTAGGTCAGATGTAAATGGCAGGAAGGTGGTGAAGGCCAGGGCGGTGGGCGGGACAATGTCTGCCGGCTGGAGCCTGCCGTGGCATCCCCTACACAGGGATGCTGGTGGCCACCACAGTCCGCAGGATGCTGAGGCTGTCCAGTGGTGACCGTCCCATCATCGAAGGGCATTTTGTGCTGTGAAGAGGGTACTTGTGTCTGCTCCTTGCAAACACAGAGTGAGAACAGAAAATAAGGCAAGTTCTGATGGTGACAAACAGGGACAAGAAAAACGTTGTGCCCTTCAGGAGGTAAAGACAGCTTGAAAAATTATGCTTATGGGGAGGGAGGAGGAGGGGAGAGACATCTGTGCTTGTTTATTCATTCATGTTTCTACTAGCCTTTATTATATTTAGACTACACTAGATGATACTAGAAGTATTTTGCATCTAGTGATGATCTGGGTAGCGGGAGTGCTCTGTGGCAGCCTTCACAGCTCCTCCTGGCCCAGCTTTCTTTACACATATTTGACACTTGATGCAGGTTACGCTGCACTGTCATCCGATGGAGGTGTAAGCTCGGATCGGTTTTGTTCTGTTGTTTTGCTTTATATTTTCTTTTGCTAGCTGGCTGTAATCAGACAGGAGCAGAGGGAAATCAAAGGTCATTAAGCACCGCAAGACCTCTGCCCTTTTTGAGCTGAGACAGGAGAGTCCTTCATTTCTTTGACAGCTAAATGGGAGAGAACGCAACACAATGTTCCTTGTGTTTTTAAACAGTTGCTGAAATTAAAAAGGATCAATTCTGAGATGAAAGAATTACTCCTGCTGCTGGTGCTTGAAAAACAGGGGTGTCTGCATTTGATATTTGGAGAAATACGAAGCTGGGACATTGTTATAGCCTCTTCGGTTGCCTTTATCCCTTATAGAGAGGCAGAAAACCGGAACCAGTTTATTGCTTCTTAGAAAGTCTATCAAGGACATCAGGCAACTTCTGTAAACTGCTTTAATCTGATTTTATTTTCTATAATAGTGATGTTTAATGATCACTTTGTTTTAACCCATTTTCCTTTTTCCCTGGTCTGAAGGGAAAATTCTTGGAATGAAGGGAGAAGAAGGAAACAAAGCTGGCAGTCTCAGTAGCTTGCAGCCATGCCAGCTTTGTGCTGTTAAACAGGAATTAGCCGAGTGGCTCTCTCCAGACATGTTAAAACATAATTTCCTTTTGCTATATCCTGATGAATTCTGCAGGTCTTTACCCACACAGAACTCTCTGTGGTGTTTATGATGAGAGCTAATTCGGCTGAGAATTGATCAGAAGCCTTAAATGCACAGCTCCCAGCCTTTCCAGTAGAAGGGCCAGCTCTGAAACCCTCTGGGTGTCTGACATTCTGCAGGACCCATCCCCAAATAAAGTATTACCGTGCAAGACAGATCTGTACGTTTTATACTTTATCACATCCTGTCTTACTGTTGCAGTGGATTTTTCACTTGGGGGCTTTATTCGATGCTGTCTCAGTGTTGTGGCTGTAAGTCATGCTCTGTGCCCAACGCACGCTTTCCAGTCTGTGCATGCAGTGATATGTACCCTGAAATGCTGCCTGTCCTGATGCTCGAGTGGTGCAGAGCAGCTCAAGCGGGGATGCAATTTCTCATGCAATATCAGCAAGAGAGACGTGACCTGGCCTTCGTTAGGAGCGGTATTAAACCAGATGCCGCAGGGGGAGTGGATTGCTGGGCTGTTGAGATCTGTCCCCCCATTCAGCTCCCAGTTCCCTTCTCTTATACTTTAGTGCTCCCGGCTCACTTCCGCACTTCCTCAAAACTCATTCCTGGAAAAGGGAGGGTGGAACGGAAATACTCCATTAGACCTCTCTCCACTGATTTACATTTCCAGTGAATATGGTAATGGACAAGCCAGACTCCTCCTGGTTTTAAGCACCACATACAAATCCTCCCTGTTCATTTAGAGAAAACCTATGCTGCCAGCTACCACCACCAACTGCCACATCAGCAAGGACTAAACCTGGCCAGAGGAGCTTCTAATCAGGAAATCATTTTTTCCAGGGTCTGGAAGAGTCAATATGTTGGATCAGATTCATCTGCTGGCTGCCGTGACAGTCCTGGGAGTCCTGGAGCAAGGTAGGGACCATTGGATGCACGTGCCCAAATACTTGCTGGGTCAGTCTACTGTACCTCCACTGACTTCCTTTCACTTCCATATTTAATTTCTGTTGTTGCACTGGCACTTCCCTGCTTTTCAGACAGTGGACTGGTATTTTTTCTGGGTTTTGAAACGTATTCAACAAAACGAGTGCCTGGGAAGCCCTTCCTCTGAACTGACCTACCTCCTCAGTTCAGAAATTTGTTGGTAGATCTTCTCTTCTGCAAACACGTAGAATTTCTTTCTTTGAAAAATGGGTTTACAGCAGTTCCTGGGGTTTGTGTAGACGTTAGCATACAAAGAGCACTGCGGGGAGGAAAGGTGGAAGAACCAGCTGCAGTGGGTCACATAGAACATCTCCCAGTCATGGTTCCACATTGCATGACAATTTAATTCAATGTCTGGCTGGCTTATCTACGGTATCAGTTCCCTCCCTACTCAGCTATCCCCCTACTCAGAGGGGGAAAAAATTAAAGATTGAAAAAACCTTAAAATTGGCAGTAACAAAGTACATCTGCACTGTGTATCAATTTCTATAGATAATAGATGATCTGTTAATTATGCAAGAGAAAAGCAGATGCTGGTGGTACATGACTGCATATTCCTCGCTTCACTGTTGCACTAGGTCATTGCTTTTCCTTGTCTGAAATGTATCTGGGATTTTTATCCAGCTTTCTCTGCTATGTGGGGGTGCAAGGCTAGGAGGAGACCGCAGATCTTTTGCCCCTACCTCTGGCAGTCTCCTGGCCCCAACTGTGCACAGCCAGAGGACTGACTACTGCTACTTTTCTCTCTTTTGCTGCAGCCTATTTCTTCCTCCAGGTGATCTATGCTAGGAGGGTATTTGGCATTTCTCCTCCAAAGATCTCAGGCCCACCTGAATTCGAGAGGATCTTTCGAGCACAGTAAGAAACTCCTCTTATGCGATGCTTGCCGGATCTCATGTCTAATGGCACTGCCCCTCCCCTGCTTTGCCATTCATTTCTTGGGACTGTTAATTCAGCAGTTACTCACCTTCCAAGTTAATGGGCTTAAGAGTCAGCATCAGGACTGGGTTGGCTTATAAGTCCTAAACGCATTGCTGAGAGAAATCACACAGGAATCTCTGCTGTAGAGTGAAGGGCTGCTAAAGACATAGTTGTTGGTGCCTGAGACTTAGGCTGGTTTTAGCCAAGTGGTGTCAAAGCCTCAGGCAGCTTCAGCCCTGCTCTGAACCCCTCTCGCTGGGAAGGACAAGCTCCCAGAGAGATCTCAGCTGGGGCTGGGCTGAGCATACCACAATCCAGCATCTCTGCCGTGACTTCTGTGCTAGGGCTGCAGTGGGGGAGGGAGGCAGAGAGAGAGGAAGCTTCCACTTTTGCTGTAGCTGAGCACTGAAAAAAAGCAACCGGGCAGCACGAGCAGGATCCCCTCAGCCATCCCCTTCTCTGCTCTGTTGCCAGCCTAGACACAGCCTCATCCAGCATCTCTTGGTCCTGCTACTTTGTCTTTGGGGGGACAGGGCATGGCATACAAACAATCCAAACAGCTAAGTGCTCCCTCCCACTCCTGCCTGAAACCCAAGCTGCTCTGGCCTTATCTGCTTAAGATGCACTTCATCCTCAATGTGTCTGCAGCTTGCTGGGGCAGACATTCCTTGCAGCTTTGGGCTTTGGGGCTTTTACAGCAGGGTTTAAGCTGTGGCACCCAGGAAGGGGCAGTGGGGGTGGTTCACAGAGCCTTTCTGTGCATGGTCTGACCTGGGCATCTTAATTTCCTGTGCCCTGGAGACCCAGTTCCTTTCACTGTTCTGTTCCTGTGAATAAAGATGGGATGGGAACTGTGGGGAAAGGTGCAAGCCTGGAGGTTTTTTTTTGTGACATCAGCTCTAAAAAGCAACAGCCTCCAGTCTCTGGAAACTGCTAGCAGAAGCAAAAAAGGAAGATCTTCCTCCTCTCCATTGTTTATGACCTTCCTCTTTCCTGCCAGGGTGAATTCCTCTGAATATTTTCCCATTTTCCTGGCACTTCTGTGGCAGGCTGGACTTTTCTTCCATCAAGGTGAGAGCAGCCCATTACCTGGTTTGTCACTGAATCTGTTCCGCTGAGTGCTGGCTCAGTACTCAGGTCCTGCTCACTTCCTGAACAATAAACTAGGTAGTAATTCTCCCTCTGATGGGAGGGTAGAGCCAGAGGACACAGAGCCTCTATTCCTTCACTTTGAGCTACTTGCTTGGCTCAAAGTAGCTCTAAAAAGCCTTTGGAGATGGTCACTGTGATCTCTCTCAACTGCAGGTCTGGCTGCAGCCTTGGGTCTGCTCTACCTCTATGCCCGCTACTGCTACTTTATGGGATACAAGGCATCGTCCTCAGAAAGGTAAAGGCCTCTGCCAGCCTGGAGTATGTGGTATCCCCTAGGGGTTTGCATTTGGGAACATAACGTGCTTTGGGGAAGCTCGGGACTCCCTCTGGCTGCTTTGGGGTCCCCGCAAGACTCAGCCTTGCCAAACTTTCCTTGGGGCATAACGTGGGCATGGGTACAGGGCTGGGGCCAGAGACACAGATACAGGGCAAGGCTGGAGCTGCCCCAAGCCCTTGCAGGTGTGCATGTGCTCCCTTGAGGCAGAGGCCGGGCATAGGACCCCACGCAGGGGAAAGGGGACAGCCAGGGGCTGCCTTTCCAACCCTCTTCCCCAGGGAGGGAGGGACTGTTCCCGGGCAAGAGCAGTGATGCTTGGTCTCAGCAGGCTCCCTCTCTCCTGACAGGCTCACCCCAATATACTTTAGCACTGGAGTTCTCTGGATTCTCGTTGCAGCATCAGCCTTGGGCATCTTGCATTTCTTCCTCTCTCACTATGTGGGGCTGAACATCCTCCAGCTTCTCACAGCGTGACCTGCTCCTCCCTCATCGGTGTCCTCGCCTTCAAGTCCTGCTCCCTCCTGCCCATGGTAACAGACTGGCTGTACCTAATACTGCACAAGCAACAAATCCACCCTCACCTGAGTTTTTAACACCTTCCTCCCCACTGCCCAGCACCAACATGAACTGCTGAGCTCTTCAGGAGGTATTTTTCCCCTGACAGCATGCTTCGTGCCAAGTGCTCCATATCTGGCAGCTCTGTCATGCCTGATGCAGAAACGACACTCCAAAACAAGGAGAATTTTAGGAAAACCGGACACATAAAAGCAAACTCATCTCAGCCCAAGCTTCCCAGTGAGCTGCCCCAGGGAATCACCATGTGTTCCCCTTACTCCAGTGGCTCTGCCTTCAGCCCAGGCACCGAAGGCGGGTTCATGCCAGTTTTCCAAGGCCAATACCTAAGAAAGGCATTTGTTTGAAACCAGCTGTGGACTGAGGCGAGGAATAAATGGGAGCAGCCACCAACATGTTATGCAAAAGTCTATTAGTGCCTTTGTAATGGTGATTAGCCATTGCCTGTGGGCGATATTGTAAATCAGACTGCACAAATTCATAACCACTACCGCATGTATAACTTTGAATACTGCTGAGCAACAATATGCACAAATAAAAAGGCACTGAGCTTGCTGTGCTGGGTGTCTCCTTGTGGGTCTGCAATTAGCAGAGAACAAAAACACAAGTGTTTGAGTGCAAGGCAGCTGCCTTGGTTTCCCCGCTGTGCAGTGCAACGCAGCCTGTGACCCTACGTCCTGCAGGAGGAGAGCTCTGAGTAGGGAGAAGCTGATTTTCAGAGGTGCCGAGTTCCCAGACTGGGGGCTGAGCTGCTCAGCACCAAACAGTGCTCCCCGCTGGGTGGTTTGGCGGGTGCTCAGGTCCCCCTCTGGGCTTGGCCCCCCTGCAGCAGGAAGGGCTGGATTTTCACGGGAGCTCAGCGTTGCTGAGTGATGCTTTTGGCCATCAGTCCACTCATGTTAGCGACACAGCTCAGAAAACACCAGCAGTGCTCCGTGCCATTGTCATGGGAGGACTTCACGCCAAACCCGGAGAGCGAAAATAACTGCATTAACATGCTGCCAGTCTAACCACATTTTAAAGCCTGCCGTCCACCCCTCCCTTCCCCAGCAGTTTGCATACTTAGACTGTAAGAACAAAAGGCAGGGATTTTTGGAAGAAGTGACTAATTTTTCACATTGTTTCATTTCCTTCCCTGCATTTTAAATTGGCTTATCCAGCAAAGCCCCCAGTCTGTTTCCCTTTCGGGTTCTCCTGCCTTGGAGTCATGCTGCCATGTTGAAGTTGGCAAACACTGCAGGGGAAGGCTTCAATCCAAACAAAAATAACTGTACAGCACTTGCCTCTGCAAAATTTTCAGTGCAGCGGGGGCCCATCCTCACAGGAACCCCTGGGTGTCACAGCAAGATAAACAACAACAAAATAACTTTTTCTAGCAGCTTTGGTAATACACTTTGGAAAAGGCTGAGCGTCATTTAACCCCAGCTGCGCCTCAGCAAGGCCAGGGAGGAAGAGACATGCCACCTGCCCCCAGTGAGATTTTACTTAGCCTTTAACACATCCCACCGTCTCCTGAAGTTAATTCTCAGTCCTCACCTTTTTACCAGCATAACCAGTCACCTCCCAGAGGGTTAATACAGAAGGACCGGCTGCAGCTGCCCGTGCAGGTCCTGGCTCTGTGTCAAAACCCTGCTGACTCGGGTTAGTCCAAGCTGGTGCTCACCGGTTCTGCAGACACAGCCTCCATCTTTTACCCTGCAACCAGTTTTCTAACCCTGCCATATCGGCCTAGCGCCACTACCCACCTCAGCCCTGCTTGTCTCGGCTCAGTGTGTGACAGGGCTGCAGAATGACTCAGAGGAGAGAAGTTAATGATTCAGCAGCAAGGCTGTGGCAAGCCGCCTTCTCCCCCTGGGTGCACAGAAGACCATTAAAAATCTTGGTGCAGCACAGCGAGGCTCTGGCCCCAGCTGCCCACCATCGCTAGCTCTGCCACAGAAAAACTGCCCAGCACATCATCCCCTTCAAGCAGTTGTCAAGAGGGGTTGTTTCAGGTGCCTCTGGCAGAAGGAAAACTCCTCCCCTCCACCCAGGGATGCTGTCATTACTTTGCTACTTCATAACTGTCATCAAAGAAAATCACTTTGCACGGCACCACGGTTCAGTGATGTTGTCGATGTTTCAGGATTTATCCGATTCAAAATCCTGCCACCGCACAGCATATGGCACTGGCGCTGCATGAAACCACTTTGCCCACTCGCATCTGCTGCAGAGATGCTGAAGAGCCAGGTTTGGACTGGCAGGACGTGTGCTGGGTGGGACAGGGTCTGCCCGTGCCACCCCAAGGTTACGCGGCACCGGGGTCACCATCCAACTGGCGTAACGACCGTCCCCGTGAGCTCCAGTTTAACGGCAATCCAACCGCCCGGCGGCACTGGTACGGCCAATTGCAGAACCGCAACTGCCACTGCTGGGAGGGTGAGGTTCCCCGTTGCTGCTGCGGCAGCTGCGGACTCGCTGTCGCTCCTGCCCGGTCTCCTGGGAGCCCTGGCGGGGGCTGACCCACGAAGCCAGCTCAGCTCCCCCCACCTGGGGATTTGTGTCCCGGCTTAATTTTCTTCTGGTCTGCTGAGCTAAGCTGGCTGAGGGAAGGGCCGGCTGCGCTGGCAGCAGAGCTGAGGCCGGGC